CTGTATACATCGCTCTTGTATCCTTCGAAGGACATGCGTGCGAGATTCTCTACTGTCCATTGAGTCGGGGTTGCAGAATGGTCTAAAGTACTATCGTGTGTTTGCACATGCGGAGACTGCAGGATCCGCTCTGCAAGATGGGCGGCTTGCTTCCTTCCTAACTCGATGTCCAATTCAGCCCATGTGCACAGCTCGGAGACCAGGAAGCAGAGCGCGAGCATCAAGTGAGCCTCGACGACTTGCTGCACCCTGGTCTCGCGTTGTCTGGTGGCGGAGTCAGCGTGCTGTTCGAGCCATTACCACGAGTTACATGCCAGCAGCGAACTTACGCTATTGGTGTGTGCCAAAGCTCGAGGAACGTGAACTCCTCCACGTTGTTCACTGCCAGACAGTCGCGCACTGAGTCTGCCATTGCAATGGCATACCTATCGCCGCATCTCTGCGCTATCAATTTTGCAATCTCATCTGCTTCGATCAAGAGTTGCAGACGACTCTGCTCTATATGCACTGGATCGGTGCTCTTGCCAGGGCTTAGGGTGAACGGGAACTTTTTGCTGCGGTCATGCCGCTTACGCTAACCCACACATTCTGCTATGTGGTTGTCGCGGCTTTTGGTGTACCGCTCCGGCTGATTGGGTATAGGGTGGAGTGGAGCTGGAGGCGTCCAGTGGTTGTTCGCCATGGTCATTTGATACAATGGCAATACTTCCTGCTAAGGTTTGAGAAAACCGAGCCTGCAAAGACTTTGTGTGAAGGAAGTGTGAAGAGAAGACTGTGGAGGGTTCTCGCACTTATATGGCTCAGGTATGCTGCTTGTTGCTCATATGGCCTGACATACCACGGTGGTCACAAGCAGTCATCACAGCTCCCAGCATTCCCACAGCAAACTCTGCACTCAACGCATAGGAATATTCCTCTCGCGAGACCTGCTCGCGGTAGCAAAGCTCTTCTATGTCTGCTGGGCATCGCATGCCTTTGCACGGATGCCGCAAGGTACGCATGGCGTCGAAGGTTCGTCCAACAGCGCTAGCGACGGAGTAGAGAACAGCCCTTCAGTTGGGAGAGAACAGCCCTTCAGTTGAGATCTGTGGTATCAAGGTCAATCGCATTCATCTATCTACGGCTATCTACCCACGGCTACACGATGCGCATCGCACGTGTTTAGTCTAGGCTTCACGACGACAGCTTCTATCGCGACCTCGGAGGATTCGAGATTATGTCCAACACTTGTCTCGCTGTCAAGAAGTCACCCGCAATAGAGTGGTATCCCCACGTTCCGGCCAACTGGTTCACGTGAGCCCACGAGAAAGAAATGACTCCCAGCTTTCCTCTTTCGATACCGGAACACGGGAAAGTGATGTCGAACTTGCCAAGAACGTCATCAGCTTCTCTCTGGGCAAGCCGGGGATCAAAGAAAGGTCGTGCACCCCGGATGGTCTCTTTCATGACTCCGCTTTTGTCCGCAAGTTGAGGCAAATTCAGTTCGCTGCTTAAATGCTGCACGATGCAAGCCTTGACGAAGAAGGAGCGAGCTCCTCGCGTTCCCGGACTATCTTGTCGTCAGCAAAGGACCTACAAGACCTGAACCAATTCGTCTCACAGGACTGGCTTCTGCTCTGGCTGCCATTCGTCGTCAATCTTGGACACCCGCATCCTGTAGCCTGCAAAGGACGTCAATGCAAGATATCCCACCTCATACACTTCCGGGATCGAACGACGGCGCAGCGAGCTTGTGTAGGCCTGCACTTCAGGCGAGAGGTCGATTCGCTGTACTAGACGCTCAGTCAGTTGCACCCCCTCCGGAATGTTCAACTCATATGGCTGGCACAGGTCGTTGACTAGCAAGCAAATTGAGATGATCAGTCGAGCTTCCATAAGCTCCTTGAGTCTGGGTCCGGCGTGTCTAACGTCAACGTCAGCTGTGGGTCTGCGCCGTCGGCATCTTATTAGCGTACATACGTCGGCCGAGGGTTCCAGAATGTAAGAAGACTTCCAAGGTCCGCATTATCCAACGCCAGACAGTGGCGCACCGCGTATATCGTACGAACGGCGTGAACAGCACCGCACTCCTGTGACAGCTTCATTGCTAGTGTATCTGCTTGGACTAGCAGGTGCATTCGTTCTTTCTCGAGTCGACCTAACTTATCTCCGCGTCCTGGCGTTCGCGACCGGAACAGGCCCTCGGTATAGCCTATAAAATTATGTCGCCATTTAACACACGTCTTGATGAGCTGGTCTCTCGTGTGAGTGTACTCGAGCGGATAGTCGGCTATTGCAACAAGGGGTCCGGGAGCAGACCAGACCATGATGTTTAAAAAGCTGTGTGGTTGGGTTGGGATGTAGCCTCTCGAACAAGTAGATGTGAGCGAGAATGATATGGTGACAGAGCTTCTTGAACAATATATACGCAATACGGACCAGTCACGGTGCTTTCGCGCGGTTGCTGTCATGATGGTGAGTGGTTGTTTCTTGTTTGTGTCATGCTCGGCCTGTGACTCGGGCGCATCAGCCGACCAACATGGTCACTTCACCTGTCTAAGGCTGCAACATCGATGTGCTGGTGATGTGCAAAAGGACGTCGCGACTGTCGACAGCCGATGTTGGATATTAGTGATGTACTACATGTACAACGGGACTATCTACAGCTATCTACTCATACATAGATCAAAAGCACAAACTCGGCACGCTGGCCGATGCCGATCAACCTCTGTCAGAAACCTCAATCACACAAGATCTGCCAAAGTGCAAGATCTGCCAAGGTCGATGGCTCCGCTGTGTCGTCGATGGACCCAAACCCGTACTTCTTGACCGCCGCACCGATGTCTTCCTCGGACAGAGAGATCTCTTGATGCTCAGAATCAGATATGGTAGGATCCACGGCGGAGGTATGAAACTTCGTTCGCAAATTCTGCACAGCAGTGTCGGCGTCCCTCTTCGCTGACACGGGGTCAGAGATACGCCACCCATCTTGCATGTTCCCCAGCATGATTGCGGCGCTGTTCCTTAGATTGCCTAGCAGGAGGATCCCGCTGAGCTTTCCCACGATACAGATTTTGATGTACTTCTTTCGGAGTTCTACAGTGGCCTCGCTATGCATAGTCAGCACGAAGCGCCAGCGTGGGCATGACAACTTACTCGACACGGGCCTTCGAAGATGAGCCAGACGTGTACATTATAGCAAGCATCGTCTTGAACGCGTCGACATCTCGGTTCGCAAGATTCGGAATGGTGTAGCGGATCCATTCAGAGACTTTCGTGCGCTCTTCGAGTTCTTGACGGATCTTGTCCCAGTGCTTCTGCGCGGGTGGACTAGATGCGAATCGGTCTACAAGGGCGTCGGCTTGCTTCCTGCCCGCGTCGAGGTTCACTTCATCGGGATGACACAGTTCCTGTACAATGACTGCCATAGAAAGTAAGATGCGGATGCTCATAAGCTCTCGTAGCTGCTCCGCGGCCGAGCTGTGAACATCGTCAGCTTCCAGGTCTATACCAAATGCTGGACACTGACCCTGCTGGCGTCCGCCACATTGTTAGGAAGTGGTTGGCTTCACCCGGGTCTTTCTCCAAGTATCGCTTCAATTGATCTGTCATCTCTATGGCAGACTGGTAGTCGCAGTTCGTGGAGATGCTAGTCGCACATTGGTCTGCTTGTATCAAAAGAAGCTGACGCTCCTTCTCATGTTTGGCTAATGTGTTCTTGCGACCGGGTAAAGGTAATAGTTGTGAAAGACGATAGTCGCTCCGCCAGTTCGAGCAGTTCTTGATCATTGCATCCCTCTCGTCGGTATATCGGTGGGCATAGAAACTCTTGGAGTTGGAGATGGGGTCGAGTGAGGAAAGTTTCAACCTCTCGATTGGAGGCATGCTGGAATAGTATAGATAAAGTGAGTGGTGTATGATGGGATTGAGATAGAGGAAGGAAGTATTATGTTCGGAACCAGAAAGAATGTTGACCATGGAGCAGTACTTATACCAGAGTGGTACTCCCAAGAGTCAATGTTTGCTCGTTCTCATCACATTGACTCGATCTCGACACCCAGTCGAATCATTTCTTGTTTGCTGCTCCGGCACCATTGTGACTTATGCTGAAGACGCCCTGACGGTATCGCTGCTCGTTGCTACACTGTGCAGGTAGTGAGTGCTCTGACGGACCAGCGGTGCAGTCCGATTTGTATCTGCAAGCAAGCCAGGGGTACATATCAATGGTCTGAGTGTGGCCGGACACATCAAGCTGCGGGTATGTATCCAGAAGAAGACTGGGATATGAAAACATGATCCTCGGGGTTGTGCCAGTCCATGACGAGCGCGAAAGGGACCAGGCGTGTACGCAGCCACTTCAATATCGCTTCAGAGCAGAACACGACCGTTCCAAAGTTTGTGTGATGCTGCGCGTGGCGACCAGGTGTTCGGGATCTCACGACCCAGATGTCGCCCGAAGATCGTTTCAGATGCCCGTGTAGGTACATGCTGCTTCCCGCGGAAGCAAACTCGCCACCGAGTACACCATGTGGTTATAGAGAGGGTGCTGATGTACGGCCTCGCTGCTGTGCTTGCCGCCATCGATGCGTCCAATCGATCCCTGGTGCGATGGCATACGCAGACGCTTGACCGACGTGGTAAGAGAGTGTTGACGCTCATGGTTGATATGAGTCCTCCCCCTCGTGTTTCCCTAGCTGCAGGCACTCACAGCTTGACAACGTATCAATGGTCTCCTATCATGGCGTCGAGAGTTTTGATTGTCCTCGTCAATGCCGGACAAGCGAAGAACATCATGATGTTGGACCAGCCTCTCCCCTCTGTTGAATATCGCTACCAGCCAGTTCTCTTGTAGCATTGCACATACTTGAATCAAAAAGACAGCCTTGAAAGATACACAACGATGCCGAAGGTGGAGAAGTGACCTAGGGCTGAGCGAAGGAAAAAAGAATGACCACAATGTAGTTGGAACGCTGCCTCCATACTGTTGAAATTGTTAGCATTGATACGTTTTAACACAAGAGAGATTAAACTTGCCGGAGTTGAACCGTAGACCTCGGCATTACTAGTGCCGCGCTCTACCAACTGAGCTATCTAGTACGCTCGTTAGACGGTGGAGCTGAAACGCGAGTGTCGGAAGGATAGCTTACAGAGGCTAAGATCTCTGCAATTGGCTCGAGATGACAGCACGAACGAGATTATTGAATAAGTAAGCTCAAAAACACATCTCCGAAGCATCTCCGACCGTTGTCAGGCCTGGTGTCGCCTGGCTGTCTTGCTCCAGGTCTGCTTAAAAGTATTTCTGCTCGAGAATATTAGGACGTTACACTATGTGTCTGGGTATCAGGGCGTCTCCCTGCTAATAACCATCGTTATAGCAAGAACACTAACGAGCGTTCGGAGCAGTGTTACAATATTGATAGTTGCATAATCAGTTGTCGGTCGTTTGGCCGAGAGTTTCTTGTCACCTTTACTTTTATCATACCACTTCTACCCAGCACTACATGTATTACATGACATGGTATATCTACTCAGCATCATCAACCTCAGCAAGAGACTTCTCCTTCGGCACGACGCCCTTGTTCTTAAGGTTGGACTTCGCTGGGCCACCCTTGTCCGCCGTCTCCTCATCATCGTCATCACCTTCGACATCATCGTCCTGGACATCATCATCGTCCTCATCGTCGTCGTCACCCTCGACTTCATCTTCGTCTTCTTCCTCCTCATCGTCTTCCTCGTCGACCTTGGCGGCCTTCTTCGGGGGCTCGACAACCTTGGTCTTCTTCTTTGGCGCTGGACAGCAATTAGCAATGGAAGGGGGAATCGAGGGGGACTATCACTTACGCTGGGCAGCTGCTTCTTCCTCGTCTTCTTCCTCCTCATCTTCGTCTTCTACATCGCTTTCTTCGTACTCCTCCTCTCTGCAACGGTTGTCAGAACTCGTACTTGTCTGAGGTGTATTGTCGAGGATTATTGAGCATGTAAAAATCACCCAGGCGACCATACACGCAACATGGTGCGACCATTGCGATCGAAGTTTATGCGGTGAGATGTATGCGGCGCGAAAAGAGAAGAGCATTGCGCGAACGACTCGACTTACTCTACGTCATCGTCCTCAGGAAGCTCGACCAGCTCCTCCTCCTGCTTTCGCTTCCTTGTCGACATCGTTGGTCAATGGGGAGAAATGTTCGAGGTGAGAATATTTTATAGCAGACGGAAGCTCAGCGACAGCTCTGAGGACTCGAGAAGGAGAAACAGCCAGGAGCGCGGAAGCGGGGGCAGCCCTTCGAGCTCGCAATCCCAAGGCTGGGGCTGCGAGCTTGGGCCTGCTTCGTCCCTCGTCTTCCATTCGTCATGCGCGATCATCCTTGGCGATCTCACGGCTCACCTACCCACGTGATTCGGTGGTCTCGTCGACCTATGCTTATACCCGTAGGACAACCTTTTCCCAGACCTCAGGTACAGTATGCCTCGTATCGATCTATATGGCGACTCCTGCAGCATCCTCCGGGACTTACAGAACAGTTCGATATATTACATGGCCGCAATGACTGTCCGCTTAGAGCACCATACACAACTACTGGAGAGGATATTCTCGTACAGTAGCTCCAATTGTGACTACAGTAGAACGCGAAGCCTGGTTGCGGTCTCTTTCAGCCCAACGGAAGATCTCTCCAGGCCCATAAAGACGATGTACATCACTGTATAGTGTAGCCGACAGCGCCGCGAACAACTGGTATCGAACTTTGACTCTGCCTCGTCTGCTTAACTCCCAAACACGCACGCATTACGATCCTTCAATCATGCCTTAACAGTCTCAAAGCCCTTCCATGTGTCAAGGTAGCCTCTGATCTCAGGACCGTAAGCGTTTACACCGCCGGCATAACAGGTCATCTCGAAGGCTTTGCCGGGCACGCTCTGCATGGATAGTCAGCCACTGTTCGTACTCCACATCGCTTTTGTATCGACTTACACCACCCATGTACGTGCTCTTCGTGGTCGGGAACAGCGTTGGCGCCGCAAGTTCATTGATCCGCCTCTTCCACCCATCGCTCGCCTCCTTGGTTGGGTTCACGTATTTGAGGCCTTGCCTGTGTGCCTTGGTGATAGCGTCCCGGATCCATCGAGCCTGGATCTCGACACTGCTTGGGCCGTTTGACAGCAAAGTTGGACCATGTGGACCGTAAAGATGGAACAAGTTGGGATAGCCGGAGATGGTGGTGCCCAAGAAGGTGTTGGCTGCGTCTTTCCACTCGTCCTGGAGGTAGGTGCCGTGGATGCTCTTGAGACCCACTGTGAGACCGCTCGTTAGTATGTGCTCCAGTTGTAAGGAGATACGGCACTTACTGCTTGTCATACCGCCAGTAACGACATCAAACCCAGTAGCGAGACAGATGATATCGAACTCGCGCTCCTTGCCACCGCTCACGATGCCCTTCTCGGTGAACTTCTCGATTGGTGTGCCGTTCTGCTCGTTGATGTCGACAATTTCGACATTGTCACGGTCGAGAGTCTCGTAGTAGTTCTGCTCCAAGCACGGACGCTTGACACCGAAGGGATGTGGCTTTTGCTCTGGGAACAGGACCTTCTGCTTTTCTGGGTTCTTGACGCGCTGCATCTGCTTCTTGCGCCAAAACTTGTACGCCTCGTCGTTGGATTTGTCCTATACGTTTATCAGCATCCGCAGTAGCACTATCCCTGATCGTGACCAGGGGAGGTCATGCTACGACTTACGACGAACAGATAATCCTTGTAGCCGCCAAGCCACAGAGCGAAGCCCTGCTGCTTCCACAGCGTTTCAAAGAACGCCTCGCGCTCCTCCGGTGTGTCGTCCCATGTGTTCTTCTCGTGCAGATCATAGTGGAAGCCAGCGAAGCAACGTTCACGCATGGCGTGGATCTCGGGATAAAATGGCTTGAGCTGATTCTGCTCTTCCGCGGTCAAGTCGCGTCTGCCCATGGGGAGCGCAAGATTAGGAGTCCTTTGGTACACCGTGAGCTGAGAGGCCTTTGCGCCCATCTCTTGGATGATCTGAACGCCTGAGGCACCAGTCCCAATAACGGCACACTTCTTGTCGGTGAAGTTGACGCCCTCTTGAGGCCAGAAGGATGAGTGGTGGATCTCTCCCTTGAAGCTATCTAGGCCTGGTACGTCGGGGATGTCTATAGTAGCATCAGTATCGACGTACACGTCGAGATAAATGATTTTGCTTACATCGCTTGGCTGCGAACCCAGCAGCGACTACCAGGTACTTGGCCTTTGCCGTGCGGCCATCGGCAGTCTTCACGGTCCACCTGCCTACATCCTGGTCGAACTCTGCACTGGTGACAACTGTCTCGAAGGCGCAGTCCTTGCTCAAATTGAGGACTTTGTCCATGTGGTCAAAGTATGCCTGGAGCTCCTCCCAATTCGGGTAGTTAGTCTTCCATGTCCAGTCTTTGTAAACTTCCGGAATCGAAAGCTCGTAGATAGGCACTGGGCTGTCTACGCGGGCTCCGGGATAGCAGTTCTGGTTTTGTCAGCCTGCAGGCCGTGGTACTCCTCTCGGACAACTCACCCATCGCCATGTGCCACCGAAGCTCGTTCCGGCATCATATAGCACTGTGTTGAAGCCCTGCTTCCTCAGCTGGTGCAAAGAATATGCTCCGCCAAACCCAGCACCGATCACCAGAACGTCAAGGTCCAGATTGTCCGCGTAAGGCCCATCGGTCCGTCTTCTCTTACCATACTGGTGGAGGTCGGTCTTGATGATCCGCTCAACAGGCTTTGTCTCGCCAACGCTGCCCATGGTTGCTGTACAAGATAGTGTTCTCCGAGTGAGGTTCAAGAGAGGTGGAACTGCAGTTGAAGATCTACACGCGATGAAACGAAGGAGATGGGGCAGTATAAGAGAGAAACACTTCGCCTACCCATAGCTTCAACCACACACACTGATCCACTTCTTTAGCGGATGTTCGTGGACTATCCAGAGGCGACGACTTGCCAGATGAGAAGTTATCCATTCATCCGCCACGAGGGATACTCGATCGGCTCGCAGCTAGGAGGTAGCTCCAGCGAGGCTGCAGTTGTCCCGCATCACGAAGTAGCTCACATGCATGGAGTGCGGGGATGGGAATCCGGAGAACACGCTTGGAGGCGTAGTTTCTGCGGTTCCTTCGCCACAAGTGGAGTGTGAAGCGAGGTGTTCGCCATCTTTCCGGGGATCTAGAATGCTCACATTGACCGGGACTAGCACGGTCGTAACATTGAGGACTTGTCTCCGGGCGGGCACACAAATCGATTGGTTTCCCATCAAGGGTACACCACGGTACCGGTATGTCTGGACCCATCAAGGCGGCTTCGCCCTCGTCGGAACGGCCTAGCTCCAGGTACGCGAACATCGACTCTAGGCCGAGTCTTTCATCCCGAGTTTTGGGAGCAAGTTCGATGACGAGGGGCAATAGTCGAGCGAAGGGAGGGGAAGGAAGGTAGCTGCTCAGAAATGGAAGGAACGACGATCGCTGCACCTGCCTGTTTGGGACGTTTTCGTATTGAACGTCAGCTCGCGTTCCTCTCTGCCAGCAATCTGGGTCTGTTCTACTACACCTCTGTCGGACACGCGACAGCTCCTCGCCACGCGCGAGACACACGAAATCATGGGTGTACCGACAGTCGGAGCTGGGTGAGCAAGTCAACACAATACGGCGTACTGCGGATCTTCTCACATCCTCGTACATCACCTTGCCCTTATCGGAGCTGGCCGATATCAGGTTTTGGTTGGACAGAGCGAGAGAGCTTGTGAAGCTCTTCTCATAAGCAGCTTCTTTCGATACGCTCTGCAGATATGCCAACGAGAATCGACATAGATAAGGACTTTCTTTTCCCTACATTGTCCTTAAGATAACTACACTTCACCCCATAATCATCTTCCAGTCCTTCCTGAACAAACTCTCGTGAGTCTTGCAACACGAGTATCGAACAAGCAACAAGACCCATTTCACTCCGCCAACTACAGTCAGACGCTATCCCACGAATACGATACAATGGCGCACGCAACGCTTTCCCACGCGCAGTATGGCAAGGACAACGTCCGTGTCTACAAAGTCCACCGCCATCCTGAC